TTATATAATCAGTGATGCTCGTTCAGTGGCCTTTTTCAGAGCTAGGCCTAATTACGGGCGATTTTTAGACTTAATTTATTGGCCGTTAGCCTTTTTCATTGCTGCGTATTGTAAAAAATGCTCGTTCAGGGGCCTTTTTTTTTTGCCGCTAAATAATCTGTTTACGGGCATTTTAAGCGTTTATTTATTAATTTTTTTTAAGCTAGACGTAGATCATCTAGATCTAGTTTAAAAAATATTTTTTTTATACAGCTGGCTGTCTAGCATGCCTGATATGTGAACTAAAAAAAAAATTGACCGAACTTTAAAAAAAAAAATGACCAGAAGTAGGGAAGTAGGTCTCTTTTTCAATTTGCTTGAAGAAGAGGGGGGGGGGAGAGAGAGAGAAGTGAAGACACCGACCATCTCGTGTACGCGTGTTCATTCTATGACGTGTACTATAGGCCTGCTGAAGTCACGGTGACCCCGCGACCGTGGTGGGATTTTTCATCCACAGGATAGTAAACATAAGCAAGCAATCACGCGAGTGTTGATGTTTGGAGATTTTATTTTTAAAAAAATCACATACGTCATGTTTTCAAGAAGAAAAAAATGTAATGTAAAAAAAAAGACATTAATACCATGTATGAACCTCAGCTGCCACACTGTTGACTCAATATAATGTGATTGAGTGTAAAATGTATTTGCATTTATAAACTATTTAAACTATTACTATCATATTATTTTATGCATATTTATTATTTAAAATTAGAATTTGAAATAAAAAATATTTATTATGGTCGTTTGATTTATGTAGGTGTTCATTATTTCTTAAAATGTTATGAATAACACGTAGAGTAGAATTTAATAAATAATAAAATAACTAGATCTAGTTTTATTATCAACCAGTTGGTTTTTGTTATTTTCCGGTGAGTAAATGACCTAAGCTGACGCAATTACCATGGCGGGAATTAAAAGCTCGTGCACACAAGTCCACGGCGTCATGTTATGCCGGTCCAGGAGCAAGATTCTTGTTTTGTCGTTCATTTTCCATTCTAGCTAAATTTTCAAATTCTCTCTTTTCTCGTCAACCGAATAAGCTAGATATTTAAATGTGGTGTCAAATGTTCTCTTAAGGGGTAAGGAACTTAATGGTGTATTTGAAATAACAGAATATTTTATTTTAAAAAATCCATAATTCAACCTAGTATTTAGTATTGTAATCTCGACTAATTTTTAGTAATTTAAAATAAATAGGCCAGAAATTAACTTTGAACAGCAGTCTTTACCAGCAAGATTTGCTTTATAAACAGCAGCCATTTGTAAAATAGAGTGGCTTCCCCTGAATCTCGCGCTATAAGTTTACAAAAAAAAACTTAAGCAAGATGGCTGCTATAGTAAATGAGCATGGTTGCATCTGATGGAAACATCGCTAGTCTTCATTTATTATGCTACTGAAAAGTTTTAGGCTAATTCAATTGTTTAAAAACAGGTAGATCTCTACATAAATGAAAAAAGGAAACATTTTTGTATTTTTCAAAAAATAAATCCTCGACAAAATATGAAATAATTAATAAAATTTAAGGAGTCACCTGTTTTTCCCATTACTAGCCACGGGCGATTTTACATACCTAAACGATAGATTACCCTAATTTTATTAGGCTATTATTTTAATTATTTTTATGATTAGAAATGTTAGGCGTGTATGGCGTATGGTAGGACTAACTAACTACTCATAGTAACTAGGGTTGGGGCTAGGGTTAAGGACAGGGTTAGCATTGCCATCAGCCAGCAATGTGTGTATTTAGATAACAACCACTACCAGTAACCTAACACCCCCCTTTTAAAGAAGATTCTATTCTCAGACACTGGTATATATTATAAGGTCTCCCTTCATTCAATTAGAACTGAATTTACTGTTAATAAACTATTATCTAGTAAACTAGTAATATCTAGATTTATAGCTCTAGGCCTATTTAAATTGAATTTTTTGTTTTAAAATGTTTTTATATTATAATTTAATGGACTTTCCTTCTGCGTCACATGGTCTTGCCTCGGTTTGTATCTTACTAGATCTAGAATAGATCTAGCGGATGTTACTAGTATAAACACAGCCAATGCTCGCTATCTCTCCTTTATTACAACTCCAATATTTTCAATACTTTTACAAAATTTTAATTTCTTTGAATTTATTAACACTGTACTATGAAGCATCTAGATCTATTCTAGATCTGCTCACAAATCATGATAAAATTAAAGGAAACAATTTTTAAATTGTTTCTTGCTTGAAAGACTATCACTGACAGTCAGTGATAGGGTTAGTATTGATTTAATATTTTTATGTTGATCTAATCTATTTACTATTCAAAGTGTCTATCTCCAGACAACTGTTGAACTTGGAATAGCCGTATTAAGGCTATTCACCATCATGACTTTTGTTTTATAATGTTAAAAACCCCCAAATGTTCATGAAGCAGTGTGGTCGAATGAGCATGATAGTGTGGGTTTGAACCCATCAAATGCTTTTTTATTGATGGCATGTGATGTAGACCACCTGTTGTCCAAATTGTATTTTTTGCAATTGTTAATGATAGGGTTTTATATTTTCAATTTAGAAAACCCTGATTGATTAGTATAGATTTAGTTAGAGTGTATAATTGATCACTGAGACTAAGACCTATGTACTATGCAGCTGATATAACCCAAAGGCTTAACTAATAATAATTTTGTTTTTTAAAACTATAACATAATAAAAAAACAAAATTCATAAAAAACGTTTTAATAACAAGCTTTTATGTAATGATGCACTAAAAAGTAGAAAATAAATTATAGACTACTATTTAAATAACTATAAAGAAAAGCGTGGGTCACTTTAGTATCTATTGGATACCTTTACTAATGTTAAGGAAGACACCCACGCTTTTCTTTATAGTTATTTAAATAGTAGTCTATAATTTATTTTCTACTTTTTAGTGCATCATTACATAAAAGCTTGTTATTAAAACGTTTTTTATGAATTTTGTTTTCAGTACTTTACATGTTTTATTTACAATAGAGTTACATGACTAAAAACCATTGCGCGCCTACTGAACATCACGTTCAGTAGGCGCGCAATGGTTTTTGAACGCAGCCATTGAAGCTATTGAAGGTGATGACGCGTGTGGTGTGGTTGGCTAGACATGCCTGCTAATTCGGTCCAAATTTTAATTAATTAATAAAAAATTAATTAGGCATCCAATTAAGTCAAATTTAGTTTCAGATTGCATTGTCTTCATGTCTTGACCCACGTGCCAACTGTGAATCGTGTTGGTCAAGTAGAACTGTCCGAATTTTCACTCCTGCGTTTCTATCTAGACAGACTGTCGACAAACTGACGACAGAGGAAGTGAGTTAAATAAAAGCTTGTAAAATTGAACTGCTCTCATAATTTATACTTCATTCCCCAGTCACAATAAATGCTTTTGTTATCTTAAAATATTAGGCCCATTCCCAGTCATATATAGCAAAAATGACAGCTGACTGTGAATAGCCTTGGGTACTATTCCTAGTCTGCTTGAAATAATCCAAATAGTGCTATGCCTAACCAGCTGGGAATAGCCTTGGCCTTTACTATTTAGTCTCTACCTTGAAAAACGATTGCTATGTGCAAGAGTTAAATGTAAATAATTGAAATACAGAATTTTTTTTTTTTACAAACATGTTCCAAGCCGACATGACATTGGAAAAGTCACTAAATGTAGACTATATTTTGTGGCAGCAACATTTTTTTAATAACTTATAGTACTTATAGGCCTAGAAGAATCATTTATGGTTGATAAATGGGGAACTAATGACAAAATATGTTTTATTTTTTTTGCTCAATTGTTTGTGTACCTAAAAAGCCTTGTTATAAATCACAATAAAGACAAACAGATCACATGACCGGTGGCCATTCAAATATATTTTTAGGAATGACTGGATTTTTTTTTAGATACATGAATAATGTATTATATGGAAATACTTATTTTATAGCCACCAACAATAGAGAAAATGCATCATTCTTATATCCTCTCACATCTTATGGTTATATTTTGCTTCTATTTGTAGGCTTACATATTTTTAGAATTTTTTAATTGAAGTGTATATTTTAGAATTTCCAAGAGGTTAGTTTAATTTAATATATTATTAATATGTTTACTAATTATTTCGAGGACTGCATGGTAGAATCGCTTTTGTGAAGAAATATCAAGTATGGGTTTTGCACTTGAAACCTGTTTTGAGTTTTTTTTTTGTTCTTAGTGCTAATGATATTAATATTTTATTTCTACAATGCACTATATCTTATTTAAGTTTAGGGTCATGGGATGGATTTAGGGTTTAATTGATAGGTAAAAGTTCAGGGCTAGAAATAGTCTAAGAAAATAATATTAATTTTTTTTCAATACAAATATCAAGAATTTTAGCTGAATTAATGAAATAAGTATATTTTAAAATGTGTTATTGTTTTTCATCTGCCAAGTTAGTCTTATGTTTGAAGAAATAAGCAATATCTTCTCTCATCTTTTCAATAAAATAAACACTGTTCTTATTTTTGTCAACCAAGTGACAATGTATATAACCTCGACTGGATGTGAGAGGATCTAAGCAAATTTGGTAATTCCTCAATTGTTAGCCAAAGTAAGCAGTACTAGATTACAAATTTGTGTTTTTTAGCCGTTTGAGCCAGACAAGCCGGTAAACTGGCTTTAACATTAGGCAGAATTTTTTTTTTTTTTACAAACATGTTCCAAGCGGACAATGACATTGGAAAAGTCACCAAATTTAGACTATATTTTGTGGCAGCAACATTTTTTTATAACTTATAGTACTTATAGGCCTAGAAGAATCATTTATGGTTGATTAATGGGGAACTAATGAGAAAATATGTTTAATTTTTTTTGCTCAATTGTTTGTGCACCTAAAAAGCCTTGTTATAAATCACAATAAAGACAAACAGATCACATGACCGGTGGCCATTCAAATATATTTTTAGGAATTACTGGATTTCAGAATCTTGCTGAATTGTTGTTTGATACTGAGCCTTGATATCAGATGTGGTTTGATTATCTCAAACAATACAAAAGTTATAGGCAAAGCTAGAAACAGGTAAGTGAAAATAGTTTTGGGCCTGGGAGCTCAGGAAATGGGAGAAATTAGGCCAGGGAGACCCGGGCTCAAAGGGTTAAGAATATTTAAAGAATATTAATATGCAGTCCTAATCTAATGATAGCCTTCGCATCACTGGCAATCTGTTTTTAGATCACATCAGACTGAGTGAAAAGATTAACAGACCTTGTGCCATTAATTTTGCCATTTTAATAATAATACTTTATTCTGACTTTATAATCACCACTTTTCAATTTAACATTTATAACATTTTTAATCATCAGCTGATTTACAAAAAAGCAGTCAAGAATGGAAGAGGAAACAGAACATTTAGCTGCAATGTTATCTATTGTAGATGGACAGTCACACAAATTAACAGAGTTTTTAAACTCTGAAGATTTGAAACCAGATCTATCCACAATATTTTCATCTTCTAAAGACATAAAAACAGAATTAACAACATTTTCATCTATTGTTGATGCAAAACCCAACGTGACATTCACAGCTTCTCAAGATGTTAAACCCTATACTACAACAGAATTTTCATCTTCTAAAGACACAGAAACAGAATTTTCAATTTTTTCATCTTTTGATAAATTTACACCCAACAAAACATTTATAAACTTGCAAGATGTTAAACCTGATGTTACAACTAGGTTTTTAATTTGTAAAGATAAAAAGCCTGCTGTATCAACATTATCAACATCTGAAGATAACAAATCAGAAGTCACAACTTTATCAAGTAGTAAAGATTCAAATCCAGATTTATTGACAGGATTTTTATTTTTTGAGGATAAACAACAAAAAAGGCTTGAACTTCAAGTTAAAGAAAATCTCCAGTTTTCTAGAGACAAAAGATATCAGATTGTTTCTAGTGTCAAACACAAAAGGTTTTCTCAAAGTTCTAACTTAAGAAAACATAAAACAGGTCAAGAAGGAAATGAGCAAGTTGAATATGATGGTGACCATGAGAATCTTTCTCAAAGTTGTAATTTCAGTAAAAATAAAAAAGTGCTCTCAAGAAATAAGCCATACATATGTGATGTTTGTAATAAAAGGTTCTCTCATCGATGTAGCTTATATACACATGTGAAAATGCATTCAGGAGATAAGCCACATGAATGTGATGTTTGTCATAAAAGGTTTTCTCGAAGTTGTAGTTTAAATTTACATAAAATGGCTCATTCAGGAGAAAGGCCACATGAATGTGATGTTTGCCTTAAACAGTTTGCATATAAATCTAATTTAATAGCACATAAAAAAGTTCATTTAGGAGATAGGCTACATGAATGTGATGTTTGTCAAAAACGTTTTTTACTTAAGATAAATTTATCACATCACAAATATGTTCATTCAGGAGAAAAGCCATATGAATGTGATGTTTGTCACAAAAAGTTTTCTCAAAATTCTAGTTTAACTACACATAAAATAGTGCATTCAGGAGATAAGCCACATGAATGTGATGTTTGTCATAAAAAATTTAGTCAGAAGATACATTTATTACAACACAAAAATGTTCATTCAGGAGATAAGCCATATGAATGTAATATTTGTCATAAAAGGTTTTCTCAAAGTTCTGGTTTAAAAAGACATAAAAAGGTTCATTCAGGAGAAAGACCGCATGAATGTGATGTTTGTCATAAAAAGTTTTCTCAAAATTCTAGTTTAAAAACGCATAAAAAGGTTCATTCAGGAGAAAGGCCACATGAATGTGATGTTTGTCATAAAAGGTTTTCTCAAAGTACTTATTTAAGAACACATAAAAAGGTTCATTTAGGAGAAAGGCCACATGAATGTGATGTTTGTCATAAAAGGTTTTCTCAAAGTACTTATTTAAGAAGACATAAAAAGCTTCATTCAGGAGGTAAGTCATATGAATGTGATGTTTGTCATAAAAAGTTTTCTCAAAATTCTAGTTTAAAAACACATAAAAAGGTTCATTCAGGAGAAAGGCCACATGAATGTGATGTTTGTCATAAAAGGTTTTCTAAAAGTTCTACTTTAAAAACACATAAAAAGGTTCATTCAGGAGATAAATCATATGAATGTGATGTTTGTCATAGAATGTTTTCTCTAAATTTTAATTTAAGAACATATAAAAAAAACTCAGGAGAAAGGCCACATGAATGTGATGTTTGTCATAAAAAGTTTAGTGAGAAGAGAAACTCACAAAAATGTTCATTCTGGAGATAAGCCACATGAATGTGATGTTTGTCATAAAAGGTTTTCTCAAAGTTCTAATTTAAGAAAACATAAAAAGATTCATTCAGGAGAAATGACACATGAATGTGATGTTTGTCATAAAAGGTTTTCTCAAATTTCTTGTTTATCTTCACACGCAAAAAATTCATTAAAGTTAGAGGCCACATGAATGTGATATTTATCACAAAAAGTTGACTTAGAAGAATAATTTGTTATGATCTATGTGTTGTTACAAGTTATAAGCCATATGTATGTATACAAGATTTTCTTAAAGCTATTATTTGAGTTCTCTTGAAAAATTCATTCAAGAGACAAGCCACATTAGTCTGGTATTTGTCAGAAAAGATTTTGTCAAAGTTCATTCAGGAGATAAGCCACATAAATGTTGATGTTTGTCACGAAAGATTTTGTCAATCATCTTATTTAAATACATATAAAAATTCATTCTAGAGGTAAGCCAGGAAATTCATCATGACTAAAAACCAATTTAATGTCATTTTTAACATAAATAATTAATACTAGAGCAAATTATTATTTAATATCTGGTTTTTTTTTCTCTTCACATAACTTTAACTAGTGGTCATCCAATAGTGCGCCATTGTTTATTAAATTTTATATTTGTATTATAAAAAGGTTCTTATGTCAAAGAGTATACCATGTCAATTATTATACATACTCTAAAAAGAAATTGTATTCTATTATGTAAGCTGCATGTGTACAATTTTTCTTTATGTAGCCTTCTTCTTTTCGTGTTATTTGTAAATGTGTATATTAGGAGAAGTTAGCTATAACTTTAGAAACCCAGGGTTTTCTTTTTATACCAGCATGGTTTTGTTCAGGCCACACAGTTAATTTGCCCATTCTTTTCAAATTATATAAAATTGACAATGAACATTCATTGGGACAAGGAAGTGAACTAATTATGCTCAAACCAATTACACACATTATTAACAATACCAGAAGCTAACTAAAATAAAACATGAAGTTCAATTAATTCATTTACATTTACAAGATGTTTACAATATATGTAGGTCCTACTGTTAAACAATTTTTAACTTGAAACTTTTACACTACTAACAAACAACTCAGTCAGACATACAGCAACATGACAGAATATCAGGTTGACAGGTAAAACAACCTGCATTAGACAAGTACAATGACATCAGGCCAGCAGTCACCGTGGCATCTGGCCAACAGGTACAGTGACATCAAAACTTCTGAACAGACAAAATATTTTTTGTAAACACCTTATATTGAGAGGTATAGAATCTCAAATCAATTAATAGCATAAAGATGTATAAACAAGATGCTCATTATTGTTCCATTTACAAATGCTTGCTTTGTACTCAAGTTTCTGTTCCGATCAGTAAAATGATGCAAATAACTTTCTATACAAACTTATTTGGTGAAAATAAATTTAAAACTTCTACTTTAATTGTTTGACATTATTTTATTCATCCCATTTAAGAATCCCTCCTCCTTCCTCCCCCTCATTTACATGTCTTATGGAACTAACCTTAAGTTTCAAGTTGGTCCAACCATTGCTAAGGCTTATGGTCACTTCCTTACTTTTGATAGATGAATGTTTTTTATTCAGTTAAATTAAATGCATTTGTAATATGTTATATAAGCCTATAGATTTTATCATTCTGCACGCCTTCTCAATATGAACTTTATGCCAAACCTCAGACACCTCGCTACATGCAATGTGTTTAACAAGAGTACAGAATAATTTTCTTCACATATTCACATGAGCTATAGAATTTAGATATTAACCACACATAACAATTTTATAAATAAACTTTGAAATTTTTTAAAACAGCATAAAAATTATCAATTTGAAGAAAAGAAAGACTTAAGCTGCAATTGTTACATTTTGGTATCTTAGTTTCAACATAGTTATTGTTGATTAATCATTATTTAATTTTGTATTCTTTACTATTTAAAAAACAAACATCGTAGGGCTTAATGAAAATTCTAAATCTAATGTAGTGAATCATTAGAAATTATAACATGAAAATTTCATAAAATAAAATAGCTAAATTGTTTTTTTTTTATTGTTATTGTTATTTTTTTATCAACACTTCCTGCATGTTAAAATTCCAATGAGGCCAATGTGTTTTGGATGCTGGGGTATGTTTTTCTCTCTTGTGATGCTCCAAAGCCTGTACGTGCCAGGTATGTGATGGTCAGTGTCAGTCAACTTATGCTTGTTAGGGAAACATTTCTAATTTCAAACACTTGTTTTACTAATTATTTTTTTTTACCAACAATAAGTAAAATAAAAAAAAAATGAATGACTATCCTGCAGTCTTGAGTTGTTTTCTCCAAAAAATGATGGTTGTGTCAAAAATTTCTATAAATAGACTACAAAAAGTGCACAATCCAGACTATTACTATTATATAAGTTTATACCATTACCATAACAACACTTAGTTTGCTTTATAATAGCATAAAAGTCCGATGACTAGGCTACACTCTTTGAGGTTAGTTTACAGAATAAAACAATTTATTACAACCAGGCAAAATGAACACTCAACAAGGGTTTTGGGCCGGAAAATAAAACAGGTCTATTGACTAAGAGACAATTCAAAGGCGTCAGTTTACGGCCTGTAGTTAAATACTGTTTAAATATTGTTAAAACGTATTGATACTTATTTTCAAAAAAAGTTAAATGAAAAAGAACTAGAGTCTATTTAATATACTTAAAAGAAGCTTAATCATATTGATCACACATTTAAAGAATTATAAATGGTTTCAAAGTGCTAAGGTAAAAACAAAGTAGTACATATTTTTCTTCAAGCCTAGCAACCCATAGGGTATATACATTATAGTTATTATGTTTTTTGACCTGGTCAGATGTAGAGATGCACTAAATGCATTTGTGATGAAACAAAAATAATATTATGCAAGTTCCAACTGTATTATTAACAGACTAAAGATACACATCGTTATTTGGGTGACACCCGATCTAGCTATGGTATTGAGCCTTAGACCAAAGCACTTTATTTAAATTTTTACTACTTTCAAAGCTTTAATCTTCATCTTCTCTCAACATGGAGACAGGAAAAGGACAGACACATGGACAAAGATAACAACGTTTTAGACTTGAACTCTTTTAACATAGAGCATTTTTATCAATTCCTATTACAATTTATTTAAACCGTTTTCTAAAAGGCGAAATAACGGCTAAAACTCGTTTTCTACAATTGCTTTTTTATAGTCACGTCAAACCATCTGAACCCCCCCCCCCCCTCCCCCTCATCATTACGGTCCCCCCTCTGTTGCGTCCGGGTTTAGTTCAACTAACCGCTACCAACTAACTCTTTACAACCGTTCACTCCAGCTTTTATACCGCATTCGACCTTGACCGCCTTGGGATAATAATATATAAACACACCGGGGTTAACAATACTCTAGGGTAAACTTAACTCACACACGCACTCTCCCCTAATTCTAGACCATTCTAACCTATTTCTATCTAACCTTCAACTGCCTTATAACACCCTTCGAGTGTGACGTCATTTATGGACGACCCCCTTATACAATGTTGAAAGCAAAACCAACCCATACTTAAAATTTACTAAACAATGTTTATAATCAAAACCATCAGTAACCTAACCCTTACCCTAACACAACACCAACAGATATTTTAAGTGTAATATTTTACAAATCGTCAATTTCAAATTAGGATTTCCCCACCGCCCCACCCCTCAAGCTAGAAGTACGACATCACTTAGAATCCCTTACATATTTTCCTTCTTTTCCTTTTACTAATTATATTTTATTTAAAAAATTTAAAAAAAGATTTCTAAGTTTAAACTTGCTCGGAGAATTCCAATTTCAGCTTTAAACATAACGAGCCGACCCGCAGCGTATCATACGCCGCTATTTAGTTGTTTTATTTTCCCACGTTTTCTTTAACTTGCTTTCTCTGTTTGTCTTTCCAATCAAATCTTGCGATCGAAATTTCTGGCACTTCCCAGTTAGCTAGCGCGCTGAAATTTTCAGGGAAGCTTTCTTTTGGATGACCATAGAATATTCAATTGTTATTATTACTAAATTGATCAATGGAAACATTTTATTGAGCATTTTAGACCGCTATATAATCTATATATATAATTCTCCTCTGCGAGCCATTAGAAAAAAAACGAGCGACGCGTAGCTCGCCTCTCTCTTGCCGCGCGCAGTGAAGCGAACGATCCCACATCGCGACAGGCTTAGGGGCAGATAATTTAGTTTGAACCGACTTTAAACTTACAGGAGGTAACTATTACCACTGGTGGCCAGTTTGGGGGAGACGATATGGTCGAGTGGTTGGGCACACGATTGCTATCCCACTCGACACGGGTTCAAATCTATGTGTTCTAGTCAGTAACCAGCCCTCGTCCTAACCGCTATCAACTAACCTCTGACAATCATTCACTTGCGATTGAGACCGAAGAAGAAAGGGTCTCTCGTTTTTTACGAGTTGTCTTTTAACGAGTTGTCTTCGTTTACCCAAAAAAAAGTGAAAAGATAAAATCGATGGCAAGATTTCAATGCAAACAAACACACAAAGACTAAAAAGTAGAAAATAATAATCATTAAAAAAGTTTAAAAAAAACCCACGTTTTCTGATTGAACTAAAAAGTAGAAAATAAATACTATACATCACAATAATGCAAGCGATCACTCTACTATAAGCGATGAAAAACGTGGGGCGCCGTGATTTTCTTACAGTTTCTAATACTGTTGACTCTCTACAAGCTCCCTAATAAAAGTCAATAGTATTATCTAATCAATAGTAATATAACTTTTACTTCGGCGCCCCACGTTTTTCATCGCTTATAGCAGAGTGATCGCTTGCATTATTGTGATGTATAGTATTTATTTTCTACTTTTTAGTTTAATCAGAAAACGTGGGTTTTTTAAAACATTTTTAATGATTATTATTTTACTTTTCAGTAATTCATAATATGTGAATTCGACAGTACCAATGCTGCCACTGAAAATATTTGCTTTAAAACACTAACCCCCCCCTTTCCCCTAACCCCGACCCTACATCCCCCCCCCCCCCCCCCCCGTGAAAGCAGCCTCCTAATAGTTATTTCTTAGTTACCTCCTGTAAGTTTAAAATGGAACTAAATTATCTGCCCCTAATAGAAACCCGGCTCTACGACTCTACGATTTGTAAACATTTAGCTTTGTAAACATTTAGCGTGACCACAACTCACCAGACAATGTGGGGGTGGGATAGGGGTGGTAGTGATAGTGATAGAGAGAAAGAGAGGGGACTGCAAGGAGGCGCTTGCTGCTTGTTTTCTAACGGCTCCCAGAAGAGAATTATATATATAAATAATTAATGCACCACATTTTATATGAACCAACTAGATTATATAAAATAAAGCATGGGCTGCTGTATATTATGCTTGGGAGAAGGGTGTACGTATAGTTATATAACGAGCAGTTGTGTAAATATGGCGCAATTATATGTTTAAAGCTAATAATTTTTTTATCATTATGTAGTTTTAGATCTAGATTTACATCTGTTTAGTGCACGCATATATTTTGTTACTATTTACGTATTTCTTTTTTTAAAAAAATACCTATATTTATTATATATAGGTCTTAAATTATAAGCAAGTGTGCACTGTAGGCCATAGGAATGTTTAATTAATTTTAAAAAGGAACGAAACATCTCTAATTATGTCAAAGTTCGTGGCACATTGCATTATCAGATCTTAACCTAAGTGACATTCAAGTTTAAAACACATCGGTTCGGGTGTAATTATGTTAGCAAAGTTTTCACCCAGACCAGTGTTTCTTACAGACTTTTTTTCACCTGGAAGGGGGAAATTAATGGATTTTAATAGAAAACATACCTTTACTATCCGAGTGGGGGGGGGGGGGGGTGGGAAGCGGACACTGGAAAAGTATGTTTTCTATATAAATCCATTATTTTCCCACTCCCCCCCCCCCAGAAGAGATGCCTGAAAGAAACTCTGACCCAGACATGACACAAAAAGCACGAGCAATCAAGTCAAATAAAAGCTTGTAAACTCTGTTTCTAAATGATGATTTCAGTTTTTATTAATTAAAAAAATAAACCGGTAGTGATCTCCCCTAAACTTTCTCGAATATTCTAATATCAAATTACGAGGGATGGTAACTCAGGACATAGACAATATTTGATATCCATTTTTAATTACTTAAACTTTTTATAATAGAATAGAATCGCGTAAAAAATAATTGCACACCAAGTGAAAAGTTTCCCTTTCAAACCTGACGGTCTATGGGGCAAGTGAAGTAGAGTTCACTTGTTTCTGTGACCTCGGCATATGAAGAGATAGTGTGGTCAGCACTATGCCCAGCTGCCTTTACTTTCCCTAACAGGAGTTAGGTACCCATCAGAGTTGGGTGGACTCAGGGACGGTCTACTGACTTGAACTCGGATTCGAACTCGAGACTAACGGGTTAGCAGTCCAGCTCTCTACCGCTAGACCACTCCGTCCCACGCCAAGTGAACGCCTAATAAAATGTGTATAAATGTGCGGGATATTATTAGTACTTTATAAATTTACATGCGTTTTTGAGAAATCGGAAATAGAGTAAATTAGTACTTCCGGTCATTGGAAATTACTCAAAATTTGACAGAAGGTAGAGAATTAGATCTTTTACTTACGTGTGAAATTTCATGCATCTATCTAAAATAGTATGCAACTTATAGGCTTTTGGAAAATTCAAAGTAGATAAAGTACCACTTTCGGTTATCGGAAATAGCTTAAAAGTTGATCGGGGTCTACGATTTTGATAAAATACTTATATATGAAATTTCATCAACCTAGCTCTAACGGTACTCAAGTTATCGTGTTTACACACGGACACACAGACAACGGACATAATTGCAAAGTCCAGTTTTTACGACTCGATAACGCATAAAACGCCAAAACGTTTATATATTTGTATTTATAATTTTTGCCTGATTAAAATAAGTCCTCTATACTCCGGATGTGATGAAGGACTGAGGAGTAAAACGGTGAAAACTCAAAATTTCATGTTATTTTTGTGCACGATTACAATACTTTCTCTATACTTCGTATATACGAAAAAGTAAAAAGCGAACAAAAAAATATTTATTTTATTTCAATATTTTTTGTTTCGGTTCATATTTTAAACAATTTTTTCCCTTAAAATAATTGAGTATTAAGGGGGAAGGCTCCGGTAAAAAAAACCTTTTTTAATACTCTTTAGAAAACAGTTATTTCTTTACAGCTTTATTAAGATACATCGGCATTTCCACTAAA